CGCCAGTACAGTAAGGTCTGGCAGGTACCTCTCCAGGTTTCCCCAGAGCAGCTGGATGCTCTGTGTCTACAAGAAATCTTGAGAGAAGAAAAACCAAGTTTATAATAAATAAGTGCTTGTAATATTCTGTTGTCAGAACTCCTGACAAACTACTTTTATTCTTGATGGGTACTCAGTAAAAATGGCAGGGATATTCCACAGGTCTGAGTTTATCCAGATACTTTCTTAGGACTACTATTGATTTCTGCTCCGTCATGCTTGTTCTAGTAAAGGATTGATTTATTCTTGCTTGATGTGACTCAAAGAAGAAACTTATCCCTTGATGTCAAACACAGAGTAAAAGCTAGGTATCAAAGTAGAGATTTCTGCTCTAGTTATCAGTAATGAGTTGCCCACAGAAGGATGTAGTTCCCCATGGTTTCTAAATGTTTGTTCATCTGCTTACTTAAGAAGTCTTTATTACATACCCAGTGAGATTTGGAGCTAGTTTCTTTTGCTTAATTGCACTGGCCTATAGGAGCAGTAGTTTGTTTTCTTTTCTAAAACACTGCATTTATAAGTAGTTGGAAGAAAAAGAAATAATTAGTGCTTTTTAACTGTATAAGCTATTTGTAAGTTAGCCATGCATATGGAAGAGTATATTGAGAGCCTTACAGAATTCCATTTAAATGAGGTGCCTGACTTGTCATCCTTGATTTATGGCTTTTGGGGGTATCCTGTTGCTAATTCTGTGACATCTTGTATGAGATGAGTAAGTTCAGTGACCAGGGCATGAGTTGGATGAGGCTTATGCATAGCCATGATGATAAACTATGAAGAGACTAGTAATCTCATCCGATGAGAACCATCACCTTTTTTAAGTCTTCTTGTTGCCATCTGACTCTTTCTTTTGGGCAACAGATGATGGATATTGAATAACTCTCCTGAACTTGCCCTCAGGTTCTCCTCTGCTTCTGCAGGAGGGGGTGGTTGGGCCCTGGCCCTTCACCTTCCTTTAGATCAGGTGGAGAAGCAACAGGAAAATGAGGTGGTTTCCTCTGAAGTGCCAGAAGGCAGGGACTGTCTCCCTTGGTTTCAAATAGTCAGAAGTTTTTAATCCTGTGGGTGGATTCGGGAGAAGGACGGCGGTAATTCCGTGTTAGAGAGCAAGAAAAAAGCTTGAGCAAGATTGAGAAGAAGCAGTAAAGTAAAACAAATGGCACTCCAATATCCCAGGAGTAGGGTTCTTGGGTTAAAATTCTGTTACTGATGACATTACCCAAACTATATGCCTTATACCATCCTTGGGATTTCTGTAAATGTTGTCACTACATAGTAGTGTTGAAGTAGATAAAACGGCTTTCTTTCCCCAAAACATACCCTTGTTTTCCCTGTACCAGTCTGAGATAGTTTAAGCAGAGTCCTCTATCTTGTGTTAAATTTTCAGGTACAGTGTAAATAAGGCATACCAATGAGAAGGGCAAGAGAAAATAAATTGTAAAGCAACTTCTCTTTTTTTTTTTTTTTTTTTCCTTCCCCTTTGTGTGAAAGTGGCCTGATTCTCCTCTCCCTGTTTGGCCCAGGAAAGCTCAGTCATTCTGGCTACCTGATCCTCTTCCGCTCAGTAATGCTGCCTTGACTGCTGTCATGTCCTCAACAACTTTACTACCCGAAATCCATTTAATCCCCAATGTTTCTTGGTTTCCTCCTTGCCTCCACTGCATCCTGCTTTCCTCTAGGGGAGAGGCAACCTCTCTCCCTTTGCTAACTTGTCAATCTACTTCCCCCAGTTCTTGATGGTAACTGGGGATGGAGGGCTCTCCCATAACAGAGCCTGTACCTGGCTCAGGAGGCTCCTGAGCTGCCAACTGTGTGGGCCCAGAGGCTCCTTAAGAGCACTGGTATGTGCCTGCTGTATTCTTGCATTTGTTCCCAGCTGGTTGCGTTTGGCCATGGTCATGATCTGGTTTGAGTGTGGCTATTTTTGTCTTTTATTTCACTGGCTTTACTTGTGTAAAACTGATCTAGTCAAACTCCAGAACTTTATGCAGCAGATATCTGGAAGTGTTGCCATGTTTAGCAGTTTTGTGATACATTTCAGCCTTCAACATATTTATTGAGTTTTGTATGAGAAGCATGAATCAAGGCAAGCAAAATTATGTGGCCTTAACCATCACAGTATACTCAATCTTGCTGCTCCGTGTACTGTGGTGGCTGTCTGTCTTGACAGAAGTCATATCAATTTCGCTCAGTATTATGCATGGAAAACATTTTTTAAAAATTAAATAATTATTTAATATGGGACAGTAGTGTATTTTTCCAAAACAAGGCAATTCTTACTTGACCTGGAAATAAAGATACAAAGGAAAAAATACTTTACCATGACCTTACGAACATGAGCATTTAGAGGTCATTGATGTAATCCTATAGTGGAAATCTTTAGAAAAAAAACAAACAAACTTAAATGAACAGAAAGGGAGCACTTCTGTTGCTGGTTGTTTCGGTAAAACATTATTGGACTCATTGAAGTCCAAAGTAGTTGGAATGATCCTGCTGTTACTGTGATGGAAGTTTGGACTGCTTGCGGTTGCTCATGTCTGCGGTCAGGATATGTCTAGCCAGGGTGAATATTACTATTACAACCTCATTTAAAGCTTTGCTACCAAAATGGGAGCTGGGGGGGGAAGTGAGAAGAATGGAGGACAGTGTTGTGGTGTGCAGAATCTGGCCCTCCTGAGGGCTGCAGTATGAGATGCCATGGTGGCTCATGGGACCACAGCTGTTGGGAGGCTGGGAAGCACTGACCAAGCCGTATAACATCTGAGCAGCCATAATTTTATTGGCACTTGCCCTCTAGCAAGCATGAGAACTTGCATTAGTGTGGTCTTACTGAAGTGTAGTAATAAGAAAAACAAAAAAAAGGTGGGATGGGGAGGGTAGGAGTGGTCTGCTGCTGTAAGCCAGAAGACCTGTGATTCTTTGTCCTGGAGCTTGTGGAGTAGCTCTCAGTCTCCCGTAGTTCACCATATTGAATTGATCTACCTGAGCTTCTCTGAGCACTGTAGTGGTGCCCATCTGGTTCTGGGTGTCCAGGGCAAGGAGTTGGGGGGCTGGAGAGGCCAGGGCTGCTCCATGTTGGACACAGCTGGTTCCGTGGGGCACAGCTGACCCCTCTGCCAAGATGGTAGCACCTCTGGGCAAGCATATTTAAGAAAGGACAAACTCTACACAGATAGTGAGGGGAGAAAAGTGAGAAACAGCTCTGCAAACACCCAGGTCAGAGGAGATGACCATCACTTTATTCACAGGACAAAAAAAGCCACCTTGGTGTGACGTTTCTGTGTACAGAAACAGCTTGTTGAAAGCTTAGATCAAGAAATTAAGCCATGGTACTAGGAAGCTCTTTGTGTTGTTTTTTCCCATCTCCTCCCTTCATTGATAGATGCTGAAGAGAGAAAATGCTACTGAAAGTATTTTAGGAATGTAAACTTGTTTCCCACCATTTTAGTCGTGTGATATGGAACCGGAGCTTTTTGGCTCAGTTGTCTTTGATGTGAAAGAGATGCAACATTAAATATTTCTCTCGCCATATTTGTAAGGGGGTTCAGGTATGCAGGTTTGTGTATATCTCTGATGGATTGCTCAACTATGTGCAAAAACTCCAACTCCTGTTCTCAGTTGAATGTAGACAGAGAAATCCAGGCTCCTCATCAGTGCCGGCCTTCACCGAGTTCATCTGTTCCTCAGGACCAGCAGGCGTGTAGTCCAGAGTAACTAGTTTAGCTACCTTAGGTTTTCTTTTTTTAACATCTGTCTGTTAAACTGGAGGTGCCAATAGGAAATGCAGCACTTGGCAAGAGTTTGTGGCTTTGCAATTCTCTGGAGAAATCTGGATCTATAAAATGATGGGTGGGTTGCAATGAGGCATAAATATCATATTTTCACTTCTGACAGTTATAACTCTGTTCTAGTGTTTTTTTTCTGTTGTATAAAGAAAAAAAACCCATATACTTTGCTTAGACCAACACAGACAGGTCACAAAATTAGTACCTTTGAATATCAGTAAGCAGAAGCATGTGTAACACTTGGTTTAGCACAATTATTCAAAGTTGCACAGTTAAGATGAGCAGGAGTGCATTTTCTTCTTTCTTTTTTTTTTTTTTTTTGTTGGTTTAAGAATGGAGAGAACACTGGACTGGAAACTGGGTGAGGATTTGCTGAACCAGAAACCATCTGTTTTTGTGTATGCCTCTGATACCCTTTTTTGAACAAAGGGGAAAAACTGAAAAATTATATAATCCAGCAGCAAGTGATCATTTGGCACCTAAAAGCGGTGTTTGACTGGTACTGAAGTCTTTGCTTTTCATGTTCTGCCATCTGATGTCCTGTGCGTCAAGACATTCTCTGTCCAAAAGTGCGCATACATTTTAGATCATGAACAACTTCTGGAACTGTTTAGCAGTGGTTAACTCAGCTGGAACTGATGATTAAACTAACCTGCATGGGAGTGGAGTGGACTGCTTTAAGGATGAATTTCACTGCAGCAGGATGGTTGAAATATTTGGGGTGACACTGAAACATGAACACTTGATTTATTTAATTCTTTTCCCAGCAGCAGCTGTCAGTCAAAATGTTTTTGGGTTAGGGAGTACTATTCGAATAAATAGTAATACTTTGAATGGTGTCACAAGCCAAGAAAGGCATTGGGTTATAGCTGCCCTACAGTTGAAGAGGGTGTATCGCAGCTACTGTGGGCACATGTCATGCAGGGGCATGCGGTGGAGATGCCAGAATCTGCACTGAAACAAGATGTGTTCCTAGGGAAGCGGGTGCAGCTTTTGCTGATTTGTGACCCAAATTAATGTCTGCACAGGGTCCTGTTAAAATGCTTAAATCGTGTCACTGTTGGTTCATGTGCATGTATACTGTGCTCCATTGCATAATCCAGAGATGCCTTGCTGCTGTTTGGTTGCACTTCTTATATTAAGAAGAAATGTGATTTCTTTCTGTTTATTTTTCAGGCAACAAGAGCCTCTTTGACTCAACATTGTACCAGTTTGGGGGAGTCGCTGGGCAAGGAAAATGATATTGCTCTGATTATTGATGGCCACACGCTGAAGTATGCCCTTTCATTTGAAGTCAGGCAGAGCTTCCTGGACTTGGCACTTTCCTGTAAAGCAGTTATTTGTTGCAGGTAAGAAATTCTGGGACGACTTCTGGTAACAAAATGGGCACAAAGCCTGTGAAACTTTACCTAGTATGTTAACTTTCCTTTCATGCTTATAGTGCTTAGAGGAAATACAGATATAGGGGAAATAGTGTGATATTCAAGACGAAGCAAGCTGCAGTGGTGAGCCACTTGATAATATAATTTATTTCTCTGCTGTGGAACTATTATGAAGCAAGGCTGTGCTGGGTAGAGTAAAGGAGGACTGTAGAGAGGTATTCCTCTTATACCACAGACAGGTCTGTGAAACTGTTGGCCTGTCAGTCAGCCTTATAAAGTTTAAAGTTTCAGTTCTTCCTGTCCTACAAGATGCTCTACAGTGTAGCAGCAGAGTTTGTACATCTTCAAGGTGAGCATTCAATCAGCTGCATGTTCCCTCCTGGTGCTAGAACTCTGCTAGCTCCTGGAAGCAGTCTCAGAAGTATGATGGAAAGCAACTTTGGTAGTAGTTTCTTTCCTGCTCCTGTGGAGGAGGAAGCAAGTCCTTCACTAAAGTTAGGTGCCATCTAATAATGCAGTTCCCTCTGCCACAGTCAGTCCCAATGGAGTTCAATCTCTGTTATAAAAGAATGAAAGATCATGAGAAAACATTATACCAGACTGCCTGATTGTAGTAGACACTGATGAAAAGGAGTGGCATGGATGTAAGCAACAGGAATTGGCTAGCAAGAAATTTGTGTGACTGTTCAATTCAGCTCTGGAGGAGGTCTCTGGATGAGTTTAAGTTGTCTTCATTTTTCAGTTATGTATACTATGCAAGAATGTGTGTAACAGTGCAATTTGCCCGATTTTAAATGTTAGACTACCACTTGCTTTATTAGGTCACAGCAGAATTTGATGCTGTTCATAGATTTAGCTATACACAGATGTGGTCCTATGTCATGACTATTTCAGAAGGAAGAAAATAAGAGTCCAAAGAGAATGAAAATCAAAAGCTGGCCTGCTTTACTTTCTGCATAGCAGGAAAGCTGCACCATTTTTAACTTTGAAAGATTACACAGCTTTGAGGACTGTGTGTGTGTCTATGAATGTGTGTCTGTGCTCGTTGCTGGTATTTGGGGAGAACTGTGACCCTAGAAGGGATTGTTGGTTTAGGTGGACAGAAGGTTTTATCTGCATCTTGGAAGCAAGACCTGCTTTGTGGGGAGATGACTATATTGGAGACCTTATACTACTGTTCTGCAGTCTTATCTTTGTTATATGTGTGCACTAGCATACAAATATTGTGTGGGAAAAGCAGTTGCAGTCCATGCACCTGAAGTAGCTGAACCCATTGGCTTTTTCCATCTGACTAGTTTCTTTCCAGCTGCTGGGACTTTGGGACAGGTGTACTGCAGGGTGAAACAGTGGGGCTACCACTGTTCAGTGTCTTCATTAATGGCCTGATGATCAGATGGAGTATGGCCTCAGCAAGTTTACAGGCAATACAAAACTGGAAGGAGTGGCTGATGTGCTGCCGTTCTGAGGGACCTTGGCAAGCTGAAGAATTGAGCAGAGAGAAATCTCATGAAGCTTAAGAAGGGGAAATGCAAAGTCCTGTACCTGGGGAGTTATAGCCCCGTGTACTAGTAAATGCTGAGGGCTGCCAGGCTAGAAAGCAGCTTTGTCCAGAAGGATCTTGGGGTTCTGGTGGACAAGCCGCCATGAGCCAGCAATGCACCCTAGCAGCAAAAAAAAGGCCAATAATATCCTAGGTTGCAGTATGAAGAGCATTGCCAGCAGGTCGAGGGAGGTGATCCTTCTCTACTCAGCACTGCTGAGGTCACATCTGGAGTACTGTGTCCAGTTCTGAAATCCTCATTTTAAGACAGAAACAGGTTTAATGGAGAGAGTCCAGTGCAGGGCCACGAAGATGCTTAAGGGATTAGAGCATCTTTCATATGAGGAGAGGCTGAGAGATCTGGGACTGTTCAGCCTAGAGGAGAAAGCTCCTTATCAATTTGTATAAATATGTAATTGGAGTGAATGAAGATGAGGGAGCCAGGCTGTTCTCTGTAGTGCTCAGTGACAGGACAAGATGCAACAGAAATTAAAACACATAAATGTCCATCCGAACACAACTCCCCCTGCTATTTTACTGTGAGGGTGGTCCAATGCTGGAATGGGTTTCCCAGAGAGGCTGCGGAGTTTGGTCTTTGAGACATGGAAAACCTGGACAGACGACATGATGCTAGACAACCTGCTCTAGCTGACCCTGCTGTAGCCAGGGGATCAGATGGCTGATTTCCAGCAGCCTCTTCCAACCTGGGTGACTCTAAGATTCTGTGACTGGGAACAAATACCTTGTTTTTTCCAGCCAGTGCTCTTTGCCCTTCTCTCAAATCCTGTTCTAAATGCTTGTTAACTGCAATGACTTTCATAAGTTGCTTCTTCAATGGCAATTTTTTTTTTTTGCTACTGCTGATTGATACCTTTATTTTCTAATTTTTTGGGGGCAGGGCATGAGGTATTAGAGGAGGGGTCTCACTTTTGCAACACAAGAGGGAGCTCACACAATTGCAGCAATCTTCTCTTCAATGCAACAGGCCCAGTTGTAGGGCCGGTGGTAAGGAGGGGTCAGCCCTCTTGTCTTTGCGCAAAGTTACCTTGGGCTTAGAGAGCACTGAGTGCCCAGGAAGGGAATTGACTGTATGGTGTAGACTTAACGCTGTTGTATTTGTGGGAAAGTTTAACAAACACCGAGCCAAATGGAAAGCTCTTGCTTTCATGCTCTATCACAGTGCTTTGGTAGAGATCCTGCCAAGGCAGTTTGTTAGTTTATTTCTCAAAGATTTGACAAGCTAGGTCAAAGACCTGTGTAGCTGAAAGAAATAATAAATTGCAAATTATTAAAATTATGCTACATTAATATATGTATAAGTAACTGCAGATAATGAATGGTCCTGTTTTGCAAAGAGATGTGTAATACTGGAAACTTCCTTTCCTGTTATTTTATGATTGACCCAACAGCAGTTTTAATTCTTAGTGAATTAACAAATTGAGGAATAATGCAGGAAAAAATACTGTAAAGTGTAAATCAAAGGGGGAAAGATGATGTAATTTCACAGGCTTAAAAAGAGGAATAAAAAGAACTGAGTTGTAAATCCCCAGGGGAAAAAAAGGAATGCCTTTAATAGCCTTTAAGGCTTTGCAGGAACCTTCCATTTACTTGCCAGGTGTTTGATACTGAAGAAAAACACTTTTTTTCCCCACTCTGGGCTGGTTTTAATAGTACTTTGTGTGTCAAATAAGATAGTGCACTTAAACTTCACAGGAAGAAGTTTTATAATGTAATTGGCATAGCAAGAGGAAACTTCAAATTAAATAGTTAGTCTTCAAACAAAAATGTTAATTGGGAGGGGGATCTGGGTCTTTAAACTTAGTGGTATAATGTTTAACCACTCTAGGAGGAGTCGTGTGCTATTCTCAACATAGCATAAATTCATGGGACTTAATATTTCATAAATTTACTACAACATTTTCATCTCCTCTGGGGAGTTTCAGCTGCATTTGCCTTTCAAAGATTTTTTTTTTTGAAATATATTTAAGATGTACTGTATATTCATTTGTTGGGCTTTAGGCATAAACTGTAGTTGAACTTGATTCTCAGGGGGAATCTCTTAAAATGAAACTGTAGTAAACCTGGCCCCATTTTGCATTTAGAGGGAGAGATGGTATCTTCTGATGGGGTGAAGTCTTCCACTGTTAGAGCTTCTCTTAACGGGCCACTGGCACAGTGGAGGGAAATATACCCCTTGGGAGACTTGGCGATGCTTGCAAAATCAAACCAAACAATTCTTTAAGAAAAAGTCTTGTCTGTTAAAAGTTTTTCCAGAGACTGACAGATCTTATTATCTTCCCTTGCACTGGCTGGGATGTCAGTATGCAACCAGTCCAGAGCAAGCAAAACTTACTTTTCAGTGGAGGTAAATATTGTTTGGAAGGCAGTTGAACTTAGGACTTCATTTACAAGATCTGAGCTGTTGATTGCCTCTCTCTGATTTTCAAATGTTCCTTTAAAGGACCTGTGTTTATTGATGTTTTGTGAGAGTAGCACAATGTTAAGGCTTATGTAGAAGTGAGATTATTTTTTTTTTATAACAAAATGGAGTTTTATCATTAATCTAGCGTTTATACCTCTTAGAAAGCTAGTTTGTGCAGCAGATCGCTGTGTTTGGATTTGAATGTAAAAGTAGCAGGGAAGTATGTAACTTGTATATTTAATTCTCTACTGAATAGCCTGCCTTGAACTGAAATATTTGTAATCTAAATATGTTGTGTTTCAGAAATACTTTTTCATGACTTTGTATGCTTTGGGAATGATTTTTCTTGTTGAGTTGAACTTTTCTGCAGGTGATGGTGACTCTGCCTTTGTATGGGTTTAATGCCATATTAACAAGACTTGAATTAGGAAGAAGCAATTTGTTGGCTTCTTATAGATTAAATTGTTCCAAGCGGTTATAAATACTTCAGTAATTGTTGGACAGCAGAAGTCGTCCTTGCTTTAATTCCTTTCACAGAATAAGTACAATGAAGCAAGCATCTCCAGGGAGATGTGTGGCATGAGACTGGGACTACATCTTTGCTGGGCTGCCCCAGAGTTGTGTTGGTATTTTTTCTTCTTTTGTTTATATTACTGCCATTTCTGCAATGCTGCTTGAGGTGATGGTGCTGGGATGTTGTTTGAACCGAGTATTACTCTTCTGCACATGTGTACCTACAGAGCAATAATGTTAAACCAAGCTTTTGTACTTAGATCCTGCAGCCCTTTTCAAGGGAGTGAACAGTGTGTTGATGCCCTTATAGGAGAGGGTTTGGGACTTCAACTTCTCAGAGCTAGTTTTCAGAACTTCTGTATTCCTGAACGGAGAAGATCAGCTGGCATACAATGTTTGCATGGTAATCATTCACCTCAAGCATGCAGTGTGTATAATGTGGAGCAGAGGCCAGCCAAGGTTTTATTTAGCTGTTTCATAGCAAGTTGTGAA